TGCCTTAAGGGTTGCAAAATCACTCAGAAATAAGAGGGTATCACCAACACCACACCCCATGGTAGACTTCGAATATCCTGGATACACAAAATGGCAAGTATCAGTTTCTGCTGAACTTATGCTTGATCCTGTACAATTCCCTAGAAAGTCTGTGGTCCTGATGCTTATACTTGGGTACAATATCTGTCGAACTCAGCTGGATTTTGTTTTGGGGGAAGCATCTATAGGGTAGGTTGCTCTGAACAGACACAATTTTGCTTAACACAAAAGAAATGATTAGTTCCCAAGCTGTGCTGGTCACAGATTCTATCAAAGGGAAGGGGAGGGAAATGTCAATAGATTATTCAAGCTAAAAAGCAGACTAGGCAGTGAGGTGACAAGAAGGAAATGACAAGAGTGTTTGTGGATGAACAGCAGATTAGGGACCGTGCTGGATGCTTGTGCTTCTAAGTTGCTAAGTAGAATGTGAAATGAATTGGATGCCTTCTCTGGGAAATAGTATGAATTGCATCTCCCAGGTTAACAGCAGCTTGTGATATGGGCTGGTTCCCACCGCATTTGGTTATTGGCTTAATTTAAATGCATATTAGCTTGGACGTGGAGTTGTGAGGCAGAGTGGGGATTGTTCCCATCCTAATTTTCTCTCCCATGTATTTTTTTATTTTTATTTTTTTGCAAAGAAATAAATTTGTAATGAAAGTTTCAGAAAAGCAGTATTTTTCTTCTTGAAAGGTACAGATGCTATTATTCTAGAAAAGTGTTGTAGTGGAATATACCTAAATATTCCTAGTGCAGTTGAGGCTGTAGCTGAGAAGTCAACAATCTTTTGACTTGCATGAAAAACGACATATTTTTAAAGAAGGGGCATGTTGCTGAGCTATATAAAGGCAGTTCTTTAAACACTTTGTGTGGTGGAGGACTAGATACTGGAATTCAGCTATACTTATGACATGATCCAACATGGCTGCCAGGAACTCTTCAAACATGAAAGGTTACAGACATATGAAGAGTGGCAGGAATACTAAAGCAAGGATTGCCTTGGCATCACTGCACTACCCCCATCAACTGCCCACAAGACTCTTAGCCAATTTTAGCCTTCTGAGTGTTTTCTACCTGCTCACAGGGAGGAGAAATTGAGGTGTCACCAGTGTCCATTGTATCTTAGCAGAGTCTCACTCCTTCCTGTCCCCACATTATACACAAATGAATAAATATTGCATAAAACTGGAATGGTTCCAAGACGCTAGGATGCAAGACAGTTTCTTTATACATTTTCTCAGGTCAGGTGGTATCTCAAATGCTGCAGATGAGATAATGTTCGCCCTAAATCCAAGAAAGAGGAGCCGTGACTGGCTATTGCATGACAGCATGCCACTGCGTAACGCTCACTAGAGAGTAGCACTGGGAGAAGAGACCCAGTTAGTCGCATGGGAAGTGGGATAACATGCTGCTGCTTATGTTCTTTGGAAAGTATTCTTGAAAGAAAAATGTACCTGACATGGCAACTCATGCAGTATGGGTAGCCTAACCAGGAGTGTGTGATATATCATATGGATGATCAGGCACTTTTATGTGTCAGGATCAGGGTCCGAGTGACCCTGCAAGTGCCTGCAGAACCAGGAGCACCTTTGCAGGCTCCTGCAGGAAGCAATTAAAGAGCAATTATGCAGTGCAGGTGAAGGTCCTGAAAACCAGCATAAAAGGCTTTCTGGCACTGCTGTTCTTTATCACAGCGATGTGAGTAGTCTTCAGGACTCTCGTGCTCTGACCTCTGCATCACCATGCCTTGAACCTTGTTCCTGCCTTGCTCCTGTTTGAACCTGCATACCCTAGCCTGCCTTTGCCCTACTCCTGTGCGTTCTAGCTTGCTCCAAGTTGTTCCTGTTCTACTCTTGCCTGGACCACCCTTACATGACGGTTTCCCTGGCATCAGACCACTGGACTGTTCCTGGACTGTGCTCCCTCTCTCACATGTATAATGTTGGACTGCCTGCTGCCTTGGCCCTGACCCTGGACTGATGACCATGCCACCAGCCTCTAGCCCTACTAAGCTGTAGGACCTGGCCCCACACCAGCACCTTGATCCCTGCATTCTGCCTGTCCTAGCTGCCACCCATATCCTGGCAGTTTCCTGGGCTGGCTGGCACTGGCAGTCATCTGATAGTCACTCGGCAAGAGTGGCAAGGGGACTTTCTTGCCAAACATCTCACGATATGTTGGGCTTGACACATGATGGTTCACAACACCCAGATCTGGATGATGTGAGACTCCATTATGGGTGAAACCACTCCAACAAGAAGTCAGTTGTCAGGGTGGCATCTAAATGAATTTTAAGCCACTCTGACAAAGTCATTGTGGATTCACATAACATGCTCACCCAGCATGACTTATGAGTCACATTAGGTTGACACTTCATGCAAAACTATGATCTATGGAGTCTCTGAGCCCATCCAAAGGAAGGACAGGGGTGGGGCAGGGTGGTCTCCTGGCCTGTGGAGGATCTGTAGAGAAGGAACAGATTACAGATCTCTGCTCTGACATCACATGAATGTTGATGGAGGCAGGACCCTGAAGAATCTCATGGTACCTGGCTTATGGTGGACAGTTCAAGGAATGTTGATCAGGTGTGCAGCAGCAGCGCAAAAGGAAATTCCATGATAGGCCTTATTAGGAACGGAATTTAAAATAAAAGTACAAAGATGATATTGCCCTTACACAAATCTATAGTGTGACCCCACCTGCAATACTGTGTACAGTTCTTGTCACCACATCTAAAAAAAAAAGGATCGCGTAGAGTTGGAAAAAGAGCCGAAAAGGGCAACTAGAGTAATCAAGGGGATTAAGCATCTTCCCATGAGCAAAGGTTACAACAGTGAAGATCATTTAGCTTAGAAAAAAGGCAAGTACAAGGGAATATGAATTCTACATTGTGTGGAGAAATTGGAAATGGGGACATTTTTCTTTCTTTCCCATCGTCCTATAACTCAGTGTCATCCCACAAAGATGATTGGTGAGAGATTCAACACTAATAAAAGGCAGGGTTTCTTCAGATACCACATAGAAAAACTATGGAATTCACTGTCACAAGAGGCCACCCATTTGGATAGCTTTAAAAGGGGGTTGGATGAATCCAGAGGAAATAGGGCTATCAGTGGCTACTAGTCCTGATGGCTATATGCTTCCTCAGTTGCCATGGGCAGTGTGCCTCTATACACCAGTTGCTGGGGAACTTGGGCTGAAGAATGCTGTTGCAACTCAAATCTGGTCTGGGGTCCAGTGGCAGCTGGTTTGCCACTGTGTGAACAGAATGCTGAACTAGATGGATCCTTGGGAGGATCTCTTATGTCAACCTTGCCAAATCACAGCATTTGGCTAGCAGACTGAAAAGGCACACCGGTCACCTGGTCACAGCCTTCCATACTAAGCTGAAATGTACTGTATTTCTATTTCAATTATAGTAATTACCTTTATATTTCCATCTCTACATATATATCAGCATATGAAAAACATTATGCAATAGGTTTCCTCTTTTGTTCCCTGTTTTGGTGATTCATAAGTTCAGTCCTGAGACAGATAATCATAGAAATAGAGCAAGTCAGAAGGAGCCTCCAGGACCATCCTGTCTAAGATGAGCTAAGGGAGAGCAGGGAAGGACCTTTAAGTTGTCCATCACAGTTAGCACCCAGACACAGGTCACCTGATCATTCTTCACCACATACATAATGTATATATTTCAACCGGCACAAGTACATTTTATTTATTTTTAGACTTTAGACTTATTTTCTACTAATTAGCTCAGGGTCCCTCTAAGCAGATCCTAATCAATAAAACATCTAATAACAATAAAAGCAACAATTAAAATACATTGAACAAAGCACAATAAAACAAGACAGTACACAACTGAGGGCAATAATTTAAATTTTATGCAGTTGGTGTCCTATTGCTTGCTCGCTTCCTTGCTCTCTTACTGTCTGTCTTTCTCCTCTCTCCTTCCCTCCCTCCCTCCTTTTTATTGCTAATGCATTTTTAATTTATGGTGATACATAAGTGGCCATCATACTTGCCAAATAATATAAAAGCTAAGTTCAGAGAACATGAAGAGCCATGGTAATTTTCACCAATGCTGAGTGTGTTGTCTGAACCCAGCTGTGGTATTTCAACATGGTAAGTTTGGTCTTTAGAGATCACCAGTGCTTTTTTTGTAAGAAAAAAGGTGCCAGAACTCATGAAATTATTTACCTGTCGCACGTAGTCAGTCACTGTACACACACTCACACACATCAGTTGTGTAACGAAACATAACGGTCACCGCCCGCAGTAAGCACTCAGCGCGCAGCCACACGACCAATCACAAGCCGAGCAGCGCCATCACAACCAGCACAGACAAAGTATGCATGCATCAGATTTGACACACAAGCAGCCCGCATGCACTGTTTTGATGATTTTGCCACCGACCTGCTACGCTTGACAGGGCAATTCAAATCCATGTGGACTGAACATCAAATTTTCAAAAGTTACTCTTAAAACTTGGAAAATCTGTCTGAAAAAAGGTGCCGGAACGCCATTCCAGTGTGTTCTATGACAAAAAAGCACTGGAAATCACAATAAGAAAGACTGGCTTGTTCTATGGTTCTTCCATACTATCATGCTTTGTTGTGTGGCATGGTTTCCCCAGTTGTGGCATACAAGTAGCACAGAGTCCCCTGGAAAGATCAGCAACTGCAGGACTTGCTGCAGTTATTCAGCCTTTGTGTGCAGACCAGTGAGAAAGAGGCATTCAACACAGGTGGGGAGCAGTGCACCTTGGGATTGAATTTCAGGCATGGTGGGTGATGGGATTCAGGCAACAGTGGAAGGGCTGAGCGGGGAGGCTGGAATCATGATAATGTAGAAACAACTGGAACATCATGGTTGAAAAACCTTGCAAACTACGGTGGGTTTCATGGTGTGTTTTATGAATGCAGGCAAAATGTCGGAATCACCAAAGCGCTACACAGAATACAGACATTTTCAGACAATGACTGACTGAAAATATACTAAAGCCATGTCATATGCTGTTATGCCATAGTTGCCCAGGTCATTAATCAAAACAACTGAGAAAAGAGGAATCAAGTGGGAACTTCATTAGTCACTGATATACATTTGTTAATAGTTTTAGAAGTGTGAATACTTCTCATGAACTGAATGAGCTCTATTCATTTTAAATTTAATTGAAAGGTGAAAAGTTCAATGCTGTTAAAGGAAAGTATTTTTACACAACTTCTAATTACTGCTGGAATCTGTATTGGATGATGGTCAAGAATCTACCAAGATTTCTTTTTTTAAACCCCTGAACATATGAATGGTAAGTCTATATACAATCACAATAGCTTTGAACTGATAATTGTTCTACTGAGATAAAGTGCTTACTCTGGTTATTGGGATTAAACAGAAGCCTCTGCAGGACAGATTTTCTACATATTTGCATGCTTTGAGGGGGAACCCTCTTCTGAAATGTCTGGTGTTTATTATTGAGGGAGACAGGAAATTTGAAGGATCATACACTGGCCACGTGTTCTGGGAGACTTATTTCCCTCTATTATTTGGTTAACAACAGGGCAGTATAGGTGTGACTACTCATATGTTTTGCATGTAGAAGGTGCCCAGTGAGGGTGGCCACTTCCAAAAAATAGGAAATGCATCATTGATACCAAGAATAAAGACTGAGGTAAAATTTGAATATGCAAAGTTATAGACATAGCTCCAAATCTGGAAATCACTATTATAAATTATAGATACATAATTATAAATCCATTATGATATATACTTGTAATATAACTGTAATGTTATATATTATATATTATATAAAATAATGAATATGTGTATCATATTTAATGTTACATATATAGAAAAATGGGGAAGACTGTGACTGTGACTTGAGTTCCTTGCTCAATCTGTTGTCCAGGTACAAACTGTGGATGAGCAACTTGGAAGCTCCAGCTCTCCCTTCCCGAGGTTCTGTATTTTTAAAAAGGAGACAGACAGGCCAACTCTTCAAACAGACCATCAAACCTTGTTCACAAAGTTATTTATCTCCAACGATTTTTTTCCCAGCCATACCTTCCTTTCTTAGTAATTTGAGTGTGTTGGTGGCCTGCTACTTGAAAGAACTAATGCTTCCACTTTACAAATGTTTCCCTATTGGGCAACTTGGAGGCAAATCCTACCACAAGCCACCAGGAAAGTATTAATTGGTAGTTATATACAATTTTAATTACAATAAAATTGCATTTAATTACAATAAAATAAAATTGCAATATTCAGTTTGGACAGAACGACAGGAGAAAAATTATTCTTAATTTATATAAGGTCTTAATATTAAGTTAACTCTTAAACAACTGGCTTTTCTCATCTATGAGAAGTGCTTATTCTTGAGAGAAGCACCTAGAAGTAGAGAAAATAGAGATTTCATCACTTTCAGTATCTCCTAGTAATATTAATACCTTGCTCAGATCCATTTCTGTTACTGTTCTCAAGGAAGACACAGATTTTGTTAGATTCATTCCATTTCATGGATTTCATGCTGTGACTTGCTTATTAGTGGAAGAATTTTCATACGAAAATTGTTTCTCTTTGTAAATATGCATTTTCCCCCAATTTAAAAAATTCTTAGTCTGAAAATCTGCTGAATTCTCCTGACCTGGAAGAAGGTAGTCTGCTATACATTCTGAATGCTGGATCCACAGAACTCTGGATGCATTTAAATCCACTGAGGATTTCTCTGAACAATCTGAAGGCAGAGCTGCTCCTCGAAGTGACCCCTGAGCAGTTGCCACCTGGAGAGCAAACCGAACAGGTAGGCACACAAGTCAGCTGGTGTTATTCTTCCAAAAGCTGGTGAGATGTGCATGCTTTCTGCTTGAATTAAAACCAATATTTCGACATTTGCCTCAAGGTATGAATTGGCATTTGCAAATGTCGTGCAAAGCAGCGACCCCTTTTTGTTGTTGATGATGCATTTCCTTTTGGCAGTCATATCTTCACTGGGCCCCTTTTACCTCATATCTGATGCAATGTGTTGCTGTGACTATGCTAAGCTGGCCAGGCTGGTAAGACATCATTAACAGGGTGCCATTACATCCATATCTGGCTTGGGGATCCCGAAGGCAGCTGGTTGGCCACTGTATGAAGAGAACCCTGGTCCAGATGGAACCTTAGTCTGACCTAGCATGGCTCTTCCTATGTTCTGAAACAGTTTGGCTGAGCAAAAAGTCTCGTTTTACCCCCCCCCCCCGCCCCCCGGCACCGTAAGACCAGGCTTCCAGCTTCCCTTCTTCATTTATCTGCCTGTAATGAAATGTTTTCCTTTGTCCTGAAAGGACCTTGTCCCCAGGAGGACACCCCCCACCCGCCCCCGGGCCAGTGACTCTTCTCATTAGCACCAAACTCCGCTCATTACAGTGAGGCTGTCTGCTGGCCAGGGATTCTTTCTTGCTTGCATCAGTGTGGGCTCTGTCAGCATCATCAAAGCTGCACACCAGGCGCAGAGGAGAGGAGAACCCAGGTCTCCTGGCAGGAGGCCAGCCCAGAGGAATGCCGCAGAGAGTCTCTTGGGTGAGGAAAATTAGCGGAGCATTCAGATGTGCCACAGAGGCTCCTCCCATATTTGCAATGCAAATGACAGAGGCACCGAGCAGTTAATGGAAGGCTGATTCAGATTGTTCTCTTGCCTTAAATCCATTTGGAGTATGTTGATTACACAAAATGTACATTCAGCCTCTCTCTCTTTTAAAATCGCAACCGTTTTTAAAATAGCTGGAAAAACTACTTCCGGGAAAGCAAAATAATTTGGTTTGTAAGGAAACATATACGGTTGCCTCCCCACCCTGCTACCCCTTTATTCCTATCTTTTACAAAAGCAAACAAAGAAATCACACAGTCCTGCTTAATGTGCAGCTTTGCTCTTGGAATTTCCTCCTTTGTTGTTTTTTTAGATGCGGGGTGGGCTACCAGTGGCCCATCAGATGCTTTGACCTACAGCTCCCAGTATCCTTCAACATCAGCTATGCCAACCAAGATTGACAGGAGTTGTGGACCAAAACGTCTGAATAACCCAAAATTGCCCACCCCTGTCCTACATGCATAGATAATGTGTGATTAGTTTTTAGTTTAAACGGCTAGGTTTTGTGGTAAAGTGATGCACACTGCAGCAAAAAAAGAACTCACTTCACATATTTACTGACAGGATTGGGATATGTTTGGACAACCATCTTGTCTGCAGATTACCCACCATATATGTACAAAGCCTGGAATGAATCTGTGCCTGCTGACCCCACATAGGCTGCCCCTGTTCGCATACAGGCTCAATCAGACATGAAAAGAAGGCACAGCTCAGCTTCACACACTCAGCACTCGGTGTGGGAGATGATTCCACACATGCCGTATCACATGTGCTGCAGGGACTCCCATTCAGATTGCAGAGAAGAGGGATTTTTTTCATCAGTCTTCATAGCAGAGGATGCAAAGCCAATCCCTGCCCCTTGAACCTATGTATTCTGGGAGGGAGTCAGAGCAATTAAGGCAGATAGTAATGATAAAAGATGAAATTCTCAAGAAGAATCTTCTGTTCATTAATCAAAGTATGGGACAGCTATTTAATATTCTGCAGAGAGAAATGACAGCAGTTTAAATAGTACAACAGTTCATCGAGTATCAGCTATCCCAAGCTTTGCTTCCTGCTGGTTCAGTACAAGCCAAAGCTCTTCTGCAGCCGTACAGAGAGAGCATTTCACCAGCTGAAATTCCATCTTCTGCATAATGAATGGAGCAGGAGCTCGGTCCTCTTCTGCACCTGGCTACTTTAGCATCACTACAGGGCTACAGCTCTTTCTCTATAGGCATTTTGAATTTTTGCAACCATATCCAATTAGTTCCCCAATGTTCCCAAATCCGTTTTTACTCCCCATCTTTCTTATTTGATGCATGAATTGTTGGAGGGGGGAAAGCATGTGCAAGAGTAAAGGCAGGAACTAGCCACAGTCCAGCAGCAGGGCCAGTCCAAGATGTTTTGCTGTTTGGGAAAAGGGGCAAGAAAGATGGTGCCACTGCATTTCACATTCAGGAACAAATTGAGCTGGCAGCTGAATTTAGTTTCCTGACCAGGAACAGTGTTCTCTACCACACCTGAGGGCAGATTCTAGTCCAGGGGGTGCAGGATAGGTTGTGTGGCACACACACATGGGTTGTGTAGCCATTTCCTCCAAAACAGCAGAATGGCCAGGTGACTTAGGAAGACTGGCGGGGGGAAATGGCCAAGAAAATGCCCCCATCCTTCTCTGTGTTGGCTGCTTGAAGAAATTGCTCACTTTTACATAATAGTAGAGATGAACCTGCCAGCTGGTGCATTCCTGCCTATGTTGCAGAGCACTAGACTTAGCCTTATCTCCAATTCCCTAAACTTGGAGATAAAGGCAAAGAGTTCTAATCATAATATAGTTCTACTGCAAATTCAGGATTGGACTTGGTGGCCATTTGGCTACTTCCTATCCTATGATTGCAAATTCACTGGTATAGTTTACAAAGCTTGCATTGCTACGTTCTGTAATAACCTTAACAGTATCCTTTTGCAGCTGAATTAGGTCTGTAACTCTGGTAACATAGCTTAAAATGTGCTGGGCAGAAAATATAAGCATAGGATTTTTAAGTCCTTAAGAGCTGCATGATAGAGCAGAAAGGAACATTCTTCTTGTTACAACAGAACAAAAACAAAACAAAGCAAAAAAATGCTCACGCAGAAAAATGTGTGTTTGGAATTTCAGCCAAAACAAGGCAGCCAGAAATAAAGGTGATTATTGTAACAGAAATGCTTGGCATGATGTTACTACCTATTATTTTCTCCAATCCTTGGTGTTCCCTGGGAAACATTGGAAACCAGTGGCAATGGATTTGAAGTCCCTTCGACCCTTCCTTTTTTTCCCTTCCAAACCAAAAGCTGTGCCTTTATTCTGTGGTTATCTGCTCATCACAGATAACAATACTGGGTCAAACTTATATTTAGATGAGCTGGAAAATCTGGGAAATTGGTGTCAATTGCCACTATGTTGATATGGTGCAAACTGTATTTTATTAAAGAGAGGGACATATTTTCTTGTTACAACAATAGGGAAGAAATACCATCGGAAACCTGTGAACTTCAACACGTGCAGCCCAAACCTGGAGATCTTTGTATTGTTGCATTTGTCCATCTCTTACAGTGGGGCAGGCAACCAGAAGCCTTCAAGATGTTTTCTACTGCAGCAGCTGCCCAAGTCAGCAGCCCTAGGGCAGGATAATGGGAGTTATTTATTTATTTATTTATTTATTTATTTATTAAAATATTTTTATGCCGCCCCATTCGCCGAAGCCTCGGGGCGGCTCACAACAATAAATTAAAATAATTATAATCATTAAATTAAGAAAATATAAACATACGATTAAAAATACAAAAATACAATATAAAATAAGCCGCCCTGGCCAGATAAAATCCAATAATATTAACAGTTAAAATGCTGCTTAAATAAAAAGGTCTTTGCCTGGCGCCGAAAAACAAATAACGACGGCGCCAGGCGGACCTCTCTGGGGAGCGCATTCCATAACTTAGGTGCCACCGCAGAGAAAGCCCTCCTCCGAGTACCCACCCTCCTAATTTCTTTCACGGAGGGTTCCCAGAGAAGGGCCTCTCCCGCCGATCTCAAGGGGTGCCTGGGCATATATGGATGTAAGCGCTCCTTCAGGTAACCAGGACCCAAGCCGTTTAGGGCTTTATAGTTGTAGTCAAAATATCAAGAGGGCACCAGGTTGCCTACACCTGCAAAAGTTATGCATGTGCCAAGGAGAGCCCACCTGGTTTGTCCATGCAGTTTAATTTTGGAGTGTTTTTTTGAAATGCTGCTGTACTTACAGTTTTTTTACTGTTAGAATTGATACCCCATCTTTCAAATCAAATAACAAAAGAGGGCCTGTTGAAAGGAGAGCAACAAGGATAGGACATGGGCGCTGCCTTATTATGAGTCAGTCAGACTAGCATATATACCAGCATATAAGATGACCCTTTGGAAACAGAAATAGTGAGGCAAAAATTGGGAGGCGATCTTATAGGCCAGGTGAAAAATTTTCGTCATGGAGTGGAACCCCATATACATAAGCCCCACAGCAAAAACCACAGGACCCCCACAAAAGTGGGAGAACCATGAATATCTCTAAAGAAAAACCGTGAATATCTCTAGGGCCTCTGGTTGGTGATGCCATGCTCTTTGTCTCAGCACTAGCCAGCCTCACATGTTTTGTCTCTCAGTGGGCACAAGAACTCCAGAGATATTCATGGTTTTTCTGGAGATAGTCACTTTTTTGTTAGACAGATACCCATATATACAGGCATATAAGAGGACCCTTGAAACCAGAAATAGTGAAGCAAAAATCAGGGGTTGTCATATGCACCGGATGTATGACAAACATGCAAAATATCAACCTCGTCTTATACGCAAGTCACCTTATACATCAGTATATTCGGAAGTGGTTCATTTTATCCACCACTGTTGACACTGAGCAGTCGGAATGCCAGACAGAGTTTCTGCTCTACCTCAAGATGCTGAGATCAAACACAAACCCTCCTGCACATGAAGCATGTGCTCTGCCACTCAGCCAGGGTCCTCTCCCATAGGGTGAAGGGCCTAGAGGCCACATCCATGAGGGCAGATTAACGGAGTGAGATGTACTTATTGAAGAAAAGACAATTAAGTAGTAGCCCCCTCCCCCAGAATATGGGAATGGCTATCACATGCATGATGGAATGCATCTGTGTTCTGTTGTTCTTAGAGGGCACAACCAAAACCAATGGGCTCAGATTATAAGGAAAGAGGGTTATATTAAACATTTTGAAGTACTTCCTGATGGACAAGCTGCTCAAAAGTGGAACAGACAGCCTTGGGAGAAGGGGGACTCTCTTCTGCTAGAGGTTTTTAGGCAGAGGCAGGATAATCACCTATCAGGGACAATGTAGAAACTGACACCTTGAATCACTGGGGCTGGACTAGTTGACCTCTGAGATGCCTTCCATCTGTATCATTCTATGAAATCAGGACAGCATACAATGATATGATATGAGAGCCAGTGTGGTGTAGTGGTTAAGAGCATGGGACTGGGACTCAGACGATCTGGGTTCTAGTCTCCATTCCACTGTGGAACCAATTGGGTGACTTTGGGCCAGTCACAGACTCTCAGCCCAACCTACCTCACAGGGTTGTTGTTGTGGGGATAAGATGGAGGAGGAGATGTAAGCTGCCTTGAGCCCTTTGTAGGAAAAAGGCAGGATATAAATCGAAAAAATAAATAAATAAGCAAGCATGCAAGCAAGCTAAACATATATAAAACCAAGTAAAATAAATAAAACAGCATATCCATAAAATGGGTCACCACTTTTTGCTGGGGACCTTTTTGAAACTCTGCCTTTAACTGGTCTATGACAGACAGAAATCATCAGGGGAAGCTTTTCTGTTCCCTCTATCCCTCTGTCAGGAAATGCTTCCCTATGCATTTCTGCTGTTAGGCAGCTACAGTCTTGTGGTTGTTTTTAAAGATGCCTGTCCACCCTACATCAGTAGCACAAAGCTGCATCAGTGACACTATTTCAACACGAAGGAATGGCGTGTCTCCCCAGATGTGCGACAGAAAGTGTGCTGCAGTCGTTTGAAGCCTGGGGAGATCTAGTTTTAAAACCCCACTCTGTGTTGAAGCCGAGTCTCACCTACCTGACAAGGTTGCTATGAGGATAAAATAGGTGGATAGCTCAGCACGTGCATATGGGAAACCCTACCAAATATAAAATAAATGCATCTCCCACGACATCTAATATGGTTGTTGTCTTTTCTTTGGCAGGTTTCCTGTGACTTTAACAACAGTGTGCCAAGCAGGAATCCAGAATTTGAGATTTTACCACTATTTCATCTGTTTTGTGCTTATTGGCAAATGCATCACCCATCTGAATATCTACCTGTTCCACAACTGTAAAGAAAGCACTGCAAATCCTAACAGAAAAAAAGCTGGTATGTGGATACCTTTGGCAGCTGGTTACCATGGCATAGAAATAATTAAATAATTTAAATAATGATGATAGTGGTGCGGGGGGGGGGGGAGAATTAGAACTGATATTTAGGAGCAGGCAAGACTGAGATCTTCCCAAAGGCCAAGGAAGCCATGAGATGGAAGAGCTGCCACCCCATGCTAGGCTGAGATAATTTCTAAAATGTCGACAGGAGTCCAGCCAGCACCATGGGTAGCAGCAGAGTTCTGGCCTAGAATAAGAGTATGAGCGCAAAAGCTGAATGAGGAGACAAACAAAAGGGAAGATCAGAGGCTGCAGAACCACAGGAATGTTCCTGGAATCAAGGAATGTGTCAGAATGTTTCCCTTGATTAGCCACGTGAAGGGTCAGCAAACAGCCGCAAACTGGTGATGGGATCAAAAGCTGCATTTGAAGGGACTACATAAAACAAATCAAGGATTGTAAAGAATCGCTATGATAGATCTCATAATGATCAGTACACATGGACAGGAGGCAAACAGACCATTTCTCCTGCTTCTGACTCTTCACCTTCTTGACAGTTCCATCAATTAGCTCCTCAGTGTGTGGCTTGCCCCCCAAAACCTGATATCAACACAGTAAAACAATACTTTATGTTTCATGTGGGAAGAATGTGATGCTTCACTGCTGCTCGTGCAAGGGGTTGATGTGGGGGAATGGCTGCAACCAATTCCACCGATACAAATCAGGGTGTTAATTCACAGGAGGCAAAACTGGGTTTCCCACTAGGGTCTTCTCTGCATCAGGCATTTAATGTGCACTGATCATGATTCCTCACTCCAGGGTGTCCCCTGTTGTTTCCAAGGATTTCCACACCTTTGTTAGAGCCAGGAAATGTCATGTTATCTGGATATGGTGGAATGAACCAGAATAAGAAACTCATTTATTTTTCAATCCACTGTTCTGCTGCTTGTGTTTGTGCAATGGAACATACGGAGCGATAGTGAGAGGAACCCCTCTCCACTTTGGAAAAGGGCACATGTGTAAAGGAGCCAATCTTAATCCTGCAAAGAATCTGAAAACAGAAGCCTTGGTAAACAGGCCAGTTAAACCCTCATGTAGAGGAGTCCTAACTCTCATTTTCCGGCAGCAGATGACATGAACTTTCTCGTTCCCTGATGGGGAGGAGGAAGTGTGCTGCTGTGGCTGCCCACCATTGCCGCTTCTCTCCACCCCTCTGTCTGGCCCCTCTCCATCCCACTACCCACCAGATCAGTCTTCCTCCCCTCTGCCCTGGTCTGTCCCCTGTTCCCTACTCTCCACTGCTCCACTTACCTACTGCATTTCACATGCCACTGCAGGCCAGGTGAGCTCTCCAAAGTGGAAGGCGGCCAAAAACCAGCTGACCATCTCCGAGGACTTTCCAGGGCCAGGCATTTGGGGATGGGTATTGCGCTGAAGAGCTGTGTTGACTGCCCTTCTAACCCATGTGCCTCTTCAGGGAGCCCAAGAGGGGCTTGCTCCAAGAGGATCTGCAGACAGGTGGTAGGGAGGAAGAGGGTGGGAGAAGCAGCCATGGCAAAGGGAAAGAGCACAGTTGCTCTTGGTAAGAAGTCGCACAGTTGCTCTTGCTCTGGCATCATGGGACAATGCCCCCTTTGCAGTGTCCGCTGCTCTACCACCTGGGTGGGTGCTTCCCTCTGTCTTGTGAGGCCTCCGGCCATGTTTACAGGAATCTTGGAATTCATATTCAACTTTTTTGAATTTCAAACATGAGCAGGTGCGTGTGTTTTGTAACAAAAAGCAACACTTTAGGAAGACTTAAACACTGAAGAACACTAAAACAAACAAGCTTTCAAATCCTTAAATAAGGCTGAATTCTACCCTTTATTTTTAATTTTTTAAAAATAATATTGCTATTTTTAAGCTAAATTTATAGCCCATTTTCCTATAACATACGTGCTAGATATCTTACCATAGCGTTTTTTGCTTGTTAATTTTAAGAAAAGTATATAACTATTTATTTGAAACCTGTGCAGTTAAAAGTGCTTAACTTGTTTAGATCATGCTCTAATCTTTGTGTGTGTGTGTGTGTGTGTGTGTATACACACGCGCGCGCGCGTGTGCGAGCGCACAAAGGGCTTTTCTGTGCAAGAGTGTTTATGCATTGTAACTACTTTTGGTTTTGTTACAGAATTGATAACTTGCCAGTTCAATACTTCTGTGCTTAAACAATACCCTTTCTAACTGAGAATGTTGGAAAAGCTTCAGAATAGGAGATGTTGCTTGAGTATTTTCTCTCCTTGCCTCCCACCTGCGAATTAATTGTAGCTCCAGAATTCACAGAAGCTCATGAACAAGGTAGCGTTAATACCTTTGAACGGATTGCCAGCTGACATGGTGCTAAACAACGTTTAGGCCATTCAGCGCTGCAATCTTCTTTTGAAGGCCTTTAATAGTACCATTTTTACAGATGGCAGAAGCAAGGTGACAAAGTGACTTTCTTGAAGCTGCTCAGAGACGCAGGTGGGCAATCCTCACTCCCATTCCCCATTCTGTGGTTGTCACTTTCAAAAATTTGTTAAGGCTCATGCATGACTAACAGCAGCAGAACATGACAATACTCATGGCAGAGCAGTGATAGGGGAAAAGTTTCTTTTTCTCTCTAAGACAAACACTCCAGCAATCCTTTGTAACAGAACAAAAAGTGCCGACAGCAGTGGAAAATAGTCTCATTCTGCAGAGAGCAATTAGTGGAGGAAATGGGAGCTATAAATGCTTGGAAAAGGGTTCACACAGAAACCACATGTCAGCACTAACATTCCCATGGGGTCTGTCACCAACCCTAATTATACTGGTATGGTCACATCGACTTCAGTGCTGTGGTGACACTGGCCCGAACGATTCTTGAAATGCCTCCGCCATGTGGTTTTGCAAACCCTGCAACCATCAAATCTTCAGTGGGCAAATTCCTCCTACCTGCACTAAGCAGAGGACCTGAACTTCAAAGCAGGGAATCAAACAAATAAACCTGCTTTGATCCTACATTCATAAATCTGACAATCCATACATAAGGCCAGCGGTGACAGGCTGTGTGTAGTCTTGCAGATAGAGTGTTGGACTTGGGTTTCAAGATCCCCTTGAACTCCGTGGGTGGCCTTGGACAAAATCATGCCTGCTCAGCCTCAGCCCCATATCTGGAAAAGGAGGGCGTAAAGGAGAGAGAATTAACTTTCTCCTTCTGCCTGTGTGCCAGTGTTCCCCAACCTGGTGCCCTCCAGCTGTGATTCAGGGAGTTGTAGTCAAATACATGGAAGGGACCTCAGGGCAGGGCAGGGAGCTGCATGGTATAAAGGGAAAACTGTTGCTATACAGCTTCCTCCTTTGCATTGTCTTCAGAAAACAGTCTCTCAGTTGAATCCTCAGTTCCCTTTGGTTTTACCCCCTTTACCTGCTGAAACTTCATTATCTTTTCCCCCTCCTGCAGCTTGATCTATTTCACTTCCTTTATTACATTTCTATACTATGCAATAGCTGAAGCTCTCTGAGTGGTTTACAAAGATTAAAGCCTTAGAATACATTATTCAAGCCATATGCATATAAATATATAAACATACAATACACACATACATCTAAAAATAATTTTAAAGAAATGAGGAACAGTCATGACCTGATTAAAACTTCATCATATGCTGCTCAGTGGTTGAGAGGAGGTCTTCGCATGATATCAAAAATGTAACAATGTTGGCACCAGGCAGGCCTAACTGGCAAGATCATCTCAAATTGGGGGTCTACCCCCCAAGAAGTCTCTCTGCATTATTGCAGAGGAGATATTTGGAGAGAGCCTTAAGTGATGAATGTAGTATACAGGTAGCTTCATGCTGGGAGAGACACTACCTCAGTTATTGTGGTCCCAAGCCACTTTTTCAGTTCTAGAAGAGCTGCTGAACTCCTTAGGTCCAGCTTTTCTTTGGTACGTGTAAAATCTGCAGTCAGCACTGACTGAACGGATTAAAATGCAGGCAGCAATTCTGTAATTTATGGAAATGGTTGGGGTGGTGGACAGATCCCAGGCTTGCAGAATCTACCTGAGTTTTTAACTTGCCTCCACCTTCAAATCTCAAAATCCATCAACCTGGTGCAAAAGGCAAGAATTTGGAACTCAATCTTTCTGAGGTCCGGAGTTTGAGCACCAGAACCGAGCAGAGTTCACAGGCTGCTTCCAGGTAGAAGGCTCCTGGTATTACCATTGAAGAGGACTGTGTAGTTCCTCTGTCTTTTCTTTCTCAACAGATATTTTGTGGAAAGAAAAAAAAAGATGGAAGCAGCCATGAGAAAACTTGGGAGGATCATGAGAAGACAATGAGCTCTGAACCCCTGCTAATGTTTGTGAATAAGGCAGGGCGATGACAGTGTGGATGCCTCATTGGGAAGCATGCACAATCCTTCCACACAAAAATCCTCTCCTGATTACAGGAACTATTGTCATTTTAGCAGAAAGATATAATCTAAGGAGCATCAGACATTTTGCTGCTGTTAGAGGAGCCAGAAATCTTTGCTGATATATTGCAAAGAGATCTACCAGTAGATCTTGATCTATCTTTTTCCCACCCCTAAAGATAGTCAATTTGAGAAGTGTGCAGGGAAGATCTAAACTTTAATTCTGCACTGAGTTCTGCAGAAGAAGAATTACTGAAAAATCATTTGCCAACCTGTAGAAATGTTTGCTATTTCCTGGTTACATTCAATAGGGCAAGATTAGTTGGCATATTAAAAATATATGTTTAAAAAGGAGTTTCTGCTTTCTCATAAATTCTACAGAGATTTTTCCATTGCGAGCATTCTTGACTGGGACTCTAGAAATGGCTGCTAGTGCCAGTGAACACTGGAAAATAACTGATTAGGAGTGGATGGTTATATTAGAGTGGGGGATAATGAAGTTGGGTTTGGAAAGCACAGGATCACCAAAATGGTTTAAATAAATTTCTCATAATGGTGTTGAATGAATTTCACTGG